TAAAAAGTCTACCCACACTTCCCAAATAACAATTAGAACATTGAATCTCCTATCTGATTCCAATAGTTTTACTGGTTCAAATACACAATTACACTTGAAATAATTTAAATAACATCCATGAGTACATACACAAATACATGTTATGAGCCATCTAAGAAATAAGGTGCTAAACACCTTAAATGTGATCCATGGTCCCCCTCTCTAGCCTTTCCTTTCCTTCCCCATGTCCTGCCTCCCGATGTACTCAACAAATTACCCTTGTGGTTGCCACATGCCTTCCCCATCTGTCACATCGAGGACACACACTTCCAGTTCACCCTTCGCCTATTAGGCTCAGTCTCCATGCACATGTTCTGAGGCTGCACCCCATTATACGCCGTAGCACATTCATTCGGGCCACCAAGGATTCTGGAGCACCATCAGATCTGTTATAGATTAAAAACTGGTGGTTGGGGCTGGGGATTTAGCTCAGCGGCATAAGCACCTGCCTTGCAAGCAGGCAGTCGTGAATTCGATCCCTGGTACCGACAAAAACGAAAAAGACAAAAAAAAAAAAAAAAAAAAAAACTGGTGGTCAACTTAACGCCAGCAGAATTAAATCACCATGGTGCTGAGCCTGGATGGCCCACCTGAGGAAAGTTGCCAGCATAAATTGAGACATGGAGAAGAAGAAGCTATTGCCTTGAGGCAATAGCTAAGGCATGATGGGTTCTCCTACATGTTGCTATTTGAGCCATTTGTTCTCCTGGAGAAGCTCTGGTCCTCACATTGAGCATTGCTTCCTGGCTCCAGAGGGGAAGAGGTGTGCCGCTTTATCTCCAGGATGAGCTCAGCACGCTGGCATGCTGGCAGGTTCTCAACTGTGCTTATTGTCAGAGGAGCTTAGGACCTCCGTGTCACTGAGGATGGCTGTGGTGTTTTTCAGGACAGCCCTGGTCTTTATTATGAGCGTGACTTCTCGGCTCCAGTGTAAAACCCTCAACCTACCAGCACAGTTCCTTCTCCCCGTTGGCATAGACCTTTGGGCCTTCCCAGCACGGATCTGTAAAAGAGACTGGCGTGAGTCCTTCTTGTGGGCTCTGGACCTCCAGTTGGACTCAGGGGAGGCATTGTCATGGGCTCTAGGTCTTCATCTGGACTCATGTGGGACATTGCTGTGGGATTTAGGCCCTTCACTGAATATTCTGTCTTTGGTGCTGTGGATAGATTTCCTGTGTTAACTCTGGGGAACCATCATACAATAATATTATAAATTCCATGTCCTGATTTTAATTGTTCTCCTCACAACTTAACAAGCTCTATTGTAAGTTCTGGGGATCTGTCTTGCAATCAAGGAAACGTGGCTGAGTGTGGGAGAAAGGTGCAAACAATAGTTAAAAGGCGACAGCATTTGGGGGAAAGCACAGCTGAGGCAGGATCCTGGAGCCCGCAATGCTCATTAGCCACTGGCCCGCCTGCTCCAGTCTTTACAGAGTGAGCAAGGAATATGGATGTCTGAATTGGGCTGGGTGTGAGGTCAGAGCTCATGCGAGGACCAGCGGCCACCTGGAGAGAACGTGTCCTGTCTAAAGGCGTTCAGTTTCTTCTCAAATGCCATGCCTGCAAAATAAAGTAAGCCTGTGAGCCTAATTCCATTTAGGGTGGCAGCTGACTTCTATTTAGGAATGTTATACTAAACAATGTCACATAATTAATAATCTATTGTGTGGGACTGGGGATTTAGCTCAGCGGCATAAGCTCCTGCCTTGTAAGCAGGCGGTCGTGAGTTCGATCCCTGGTACCGATAAAAAGGAAAAAGACAAAAAATAATAATAATAATAATCTATTGTGTTACTATTCCTTTTTGCTAGTGAACAAACTTTTTTTTTTCTTTTTTGTCTTTTTCGTTTTTGTCGGTACCAGGGATCGAACTCACGACTGCCTGCTTGCAAGGCAGGCGCTTATGCCACTGAGCTAAATCCCCAGCCCCAAACAAACTTTTTAACTGACACGTACATTGGGAAAATTCAGGCCCTCCTCTCTTTTTGTTTTATAAACAATGTCTATCACCATTTTTCGCATTTGAAGGGTCCTGATTTTTAAGAAATAATTTTGCAGTTATTCAAGAAATGTATGTTCACTAAAGGAAAAAGTAGGTAAGCGTCCACATTATTTTAATGCACTCTCCCTGCATCTCCTCTCTCCTGACCCATTTCCAGTACCCTTGCCAGTTCTGGGTGTGTGTGGTTCTCCTTACAGGAACAAACAGTGGGATAATGTTTTGTTTTGTTTTACTTTCAATAACCGTCTGCATAATGTTTACAACTCTGTGGATCTTTCTGGACAAGCAATTAGGCCAGTATCTTCAGAGAAACCTAATTTGAATGACCCAAAATAAATGCAAGGGCACTTAAGGATTTGCTGAAATGGGCAAAATACGAACTCCCAAGTGTTTGATCTTAATTCAAAGTGTTTCACTAGACCAAAGGATGTGGATATTTTTTATTCACAAGCTTTCCTAAGAACGCTGGACATCACATTCTGTTCTTTTTAAAGCCACACAAAATAAGACTCTTAACACAGGCCAGCCCTCCGCACCCTGGTGTTTGTATACTCTGCTCCTTTGGCAAGGACCTCCCCACAGGAATGTCCACACTCTCTCCAGGGCCTGGCTCCTACCAGCCATCTGGACACACTCAGATGCCACCTCCTCTGGGAAACCTTCTGTGATCTCTGAAGCTGAGAAGTGCCCTCCTGTGTGTAGCCAGTAGCTAACACTTGAGACCTATTTTAGTTGTGTATGTATTTCTCTCACCTAGTTTGTACTTGGGGTTTATGTAGTAATTACTTTTTAACGTAATCTATGCCTGAAATTTATGCAGTAATGCTTATTTCTTAAAAACGTTATGCCCTTGAGCTTTTACACTTGGCAGATTTTTTTTTAAACAAATCTCAAGAATCATAAACATAATGGGCTTAGGGCTTTGATGTTGAAGTCATGTGAGTGTGACGTCCTGCTCTAGTACTAACAGTTGTGTGACCTTGAACTCAGTACTTCTGAGGTAGTTTCATCAGTTGGAAGATAAAGACTTACTTCACTGAGGATAAAAACACGGAAGGACAAAGTATACCACCTGTCCACGTTCATGTTCAGAGGTGTTATCTCAGGAAAAGTTTAAACACAAAGAGAAATACTGTGGATGATTAAGACCTACTCACGCCAGGCAAGGTGGCACACGCCTATAAACCCAGCTGCTTGAGAGACCGAGGCAGAAGGACAGCAAGTTTGATGTCACCCTGGGAAAGTTAGCGAGACCCTGTCTCAAAATAAAATTTGCAAGGGCTAGGTCCAGGGGCCAGGGATGTGGCTGAGCAGCATGGCGCCTGCCTGGCAAGCACAAGGGGAAGGGGACTAAGCCCATGATGAACGTTAATATGATGTACCACAGACATATACCACCAAAATACACAAAGGAGGGAGTGGCAGGGGCTGGGGCTGGAACTCAGTGTGCTTGCCTATCCTGTACCAAAAAGCATAACACGCCGTAACTTCTTTCTTAACGATAGGCAATTTTACCTACATTTAGATTGCCCTGTGTATTTTGTACTTAATTTGTTCCTGGTTGCTCCCTACATATGCATTATCAAGATGCATCTAAAATAGTTTTAAATTTTATCTGATGCCTTTAAAATACTAATAAAAAACCTAGAGATTTGAGAAAAATAATGTTGGCACTATTTTAGGGAGTAAGAATGCCATTGACTAGCATTACATTTTTTTCTCTAGGAGTTTGGTAAATTTAGTTCATACAAATCTCTAAGCCATCGAATCTAAACTGGCTTAGAAAGTATTTTGAAATTACTTAAGTTGGCTGCTGAGCCGGTAAAGAATCCAGGAATCCAGCTGAGTGTATAAGCCTTTTGGTTTCAAGACCCTGAGACAGGAACCAAGATGTTTAGCAGCTGATGACTGCCCGATTTAACCTGGAAGACCGGCAGACAATGCTAACAAAGACTCTAGTGAACTCTTCAACCCCAGGTCACTTAGACTCCCAAGAGGAAACATGTCCCATTTCCTTGCACTTGCCTTTGAAGACAAGCTGAAAGGCTCTCTAAAGCCACAGAACTGAATGAGAGGATGTTCTTTTAGCATCAACTGAAACTATGCTGATATGCACAACCACATTATACATTTGTTCAATTAAACACTAAAGCTGGTTGTGGTGGTACAAGCCTCTAATCCTCACACTCGAGAGTCTGAGGCAGGAGGACTGTTGCAAATTTGAGACCAGCCTGGGCTACAAAGTGAGTTCAAAGCTATCCTGAATAACACAGGGAGACCCTGTCTCAAAATGACTAAATAACACTTATTAATGTCTACATAGGAAACCTTTCCAGGTACCAAGGGATGAGAAGATGAATGAAACAATGTGCTCTTGCCTTTGAAAAGCTGTTGCAATTTGCAAAATGGTAACAGTTGAAGCCATTATGAACTCACAGCTTAAGTAGACACCGATTTATACCTAGAGCCCAAGACTTCAGAGAAATGAGACAAATACACTGGAGATGTTAGGGTAGGAGACAAGAGCACCAAAAATGCAGAAGAAAAGGAAACTGTGGCTCTTGGCCTTAAGGAAGGACTAATACAGATTCAAAATTTATCAGTTAGGGCTGGGGATATAGCTCAGTGACACAAGTATCTTCCTGGCAAACACAAGGTCCTAAGTTCAATTCCTGGCACACAAAAAAAAAAAAAAATTGCCAAGTACTACCAATGTAAATATTTTCTTCAATGTAAACAATTTAAAATTTCCCCAGCTGTATCCATTTTATAATTGAAATCTCAATTACCAAAAGATTGTTTCATTTCATAGGATTTTTAAGAAGATCAAGTAATACATATATCTCATATATATGACAGTGCTTATCTCTTGGAAGCTCAATGTATAACACAAAGTGTATATCCCCTTAGTGGATGTTCAATACAATGCTGTCAATTAAAATCACAATACAAATACACATTTTGTTGAAGCAGTTTTATTCATGATCATGAAAATGCTGCACAACAGACTGAAGCGGTGGGACCAACAAAGTCAAAGCTTCTCGACTAGCCAGACCTAAAATCAAATTAGGGCTCCAGCTCTTCCTACCTTGTTTTATCGTCATGGGTAAATTTTCACACAAGGTTGTAAAGGTAAAATGTGAGGGATACAAAGCCCTCAAAGCGGCGACTGATACTCCTCAAAGGCTGAGTTCACTCCTCATGATTCCTAAATAAATGCATTCTCTAGCTATCCCAAACATGTGAGTTTTGGCTGTAAATCCCAGGGCTAAGTTGGCTGGCTTTCCCTTTCCCTTCTCAAGGGTAAGTGAGGGGGACAGGATGACACTTCCTCTCCCTCCCAGAGGCTCTGCATTCCCAGGGAGGGCACAGGAGCCACTGCCTGGGCTTATGGTGTCTGATGGCAGGATGTCAGCAGGGTTCCTAGTCCCGAGCAAGTCCACACCACTTCTGTGCACAACACACACCCAGAAATCCTTCAGGAAACAGATACAGCACCTGCTGTTTCTAAACAAAAACCCTAACTAGTATACTTTCAAAAACAAATAAATTGAAAGTTAACATCAGTACCCAGAAGTTATTTTAATATCTTTTCCTCCATGACTGAATATACAAAGATAAAGGAAGTAATGTATTTCTCCGTTCTAAAGATGGGTGGAATATATCAAAATCCACTCGTTGAATTCTCTTTAAATAATCCTCTAGGGAAACCTGAAAAAAAAAAAAGAACAACAGTTACTAGATCATAAAATTATCAAGTCTTCCTAACAAACTAAACAAAAATTACCAGTATTAAGGTTATTTTACTTTCTTGAGATGGTATTTTACAGTAAAAATTTGAATGAGATTCAAAAAGGGAGAGAGAAAAAACCTCCCCAGAAGTTTCTATTAGACCAACAAAAATCAGTATCAGAGAGCTACTGCTAGAAATACCAAGCTTCTTCTAACATCATACATAATAAGGTATAAGGTTTTCTAACTAGAAGCTGTGAAATAAAAATGAGATGTTTGAGCTGGGGGTGGACTCAGTGGTGGAGCACATGATCAGCATGTGAGGACCTGGATTGGATCCCCAGCAGCAAAAAAAGAACCAAAAAAACATGTTACAATCATGGAAAAGAAAACATTCTTCCCACCACAAATTCTATGAGGGAGTTCAAGTAGTCTTTTTAAAAATTATTTTGTGGAAAGTTTAATGGGTCTGCGTGTTCCTTTCAGAAAACATGATTTCTAACCAGGGAGAATAATCACAGGTCTCTATAAATGTCACCCCATAAATGTGACAAAGCTTTAAAGGGTAAGGCAAGATGGAAAACACCACAGTACTCTCTTTTGTTTTCTGTAATATTTTTATTAATTTATAAATTTTTATTTTGTTGTAATAGCTTTTTTATTAAGCAGGGAAGTGACTTAAAATTGCACTCTGCAATCCTGAGGCAGCACTCCCCTCTCAGCCCATGTGCACAGCGCCCCCTAGAGTTCAGCAGCACAGAGCCTGGGTGATATGCCCAAGGGGCTGCAGCCTGCAGATTCTTTAATACACAGATAGGAATAAAGAATTGCTTTTTTACAGATTTTATACATTTACAGGGGTAAAAGCATACACAAAAACAAATACAGCACCTATCTTCTAAAATCCCAGTTGTAATCTCAGCATCAACTCTGCAGATAACAATATGCAATATGTGAACCATTGTTAATGCTCTATGAGCTTGTCTTGAAATTCTGTATCACTGTTTTATCATTTTTTTTCTCTTTAAAATGAAATCCTAATTGTGGTGCATGTACAACGGGAACATGAAAACACACTGCTGCTTTGTTTTACACTAGTAAAAGTCTTGGATACAACCCAGAAATTCTTCGATAAAAAATTGTTCACAAGATAAAATATGCTGTAGTGAAATGAAAGCACTTCAGTTACACACAATACGGAAAAACCTTAAAATTACATTAAAACTACATGTGTCCTAGAAGACATAAATAGAAAATTCTCATATACATCAGAATTTCATGAAAATTTTTAAAAAACCTTTTAAAATCAAAGATTCTCCTAAGAATGGTTCTCTCCTCCATCCCAAGAATCTTAATAAGAAGGAATGAGAGATGTTTTTAAAAAGATTTCTAGGTTATTCCAACACAGCCAGCTCAGTGTGGGCCTGCAGTCCACTTTCTGGAGCCAGTGCTACAACGTGGTGATGTCACAACAGAGAAAAAAACTAAGAGAACTGAAAGAAATACTTTTTTGGCACTATGTAACCTAATAATCCTATGAGGTACTTTCTCCTTTTTTTTGGTACTGGGGATTGAACTCATGATCTATCACTTGCCAAGCAGGTGCTTATACCGTTGAGCTAAATCCCTAACCCCAACCCCAATACCTTCTTTTATTTCCATTTTATCTGTGGGTAAACTGAGGTTATGCAGCTATGAGACAAAGCAAGCTCAACCCACTACAATCTGGCTGCAGAGTGAATAAAATGACAACTCTACTCACCACCCTCTGGGAAACACATGTGACTGTCACCAAAGTATCATGTAACTAATAAACTAATAAACCTCACCGTAAGATAGAGAAATAAAACCAAAGACTCCACATGAAAGAACTGTACTGCTAACTTCATAAAATATAGGAAGCGATGATACACATCTGCTTCACTAATTACTTTAGCCTTCTCTGCTAAAGTACTTACCGTCTGAAGAAAGGCAGGAAATGCTTTCACAGGAACACTTTTGTGGAAGGACCTCGCCTAAAAAAGAAAAGAAAAGGAAATTGGTTTGAAACATTTCGGCAAATAAACACTGTTCCTCTGAAAGGGAGCACAAAGCAAAGGGAACAATGTGACGATGGCCTCTCTCCAAAGCAAGAAAACAGCTCATCTCCTACATTAGTTCCCAAAGCAGAAAGGACTCCAGGAAAAGTAACTACTATACAGTATTAAAAACTCTGTCCTTTTTATGGACTGGCTTTGGCATTGTCCAACATCCTTTCAACATCTCAAATTCCTGTGTAATAAGGGGTAAATGAAGAGACACTTGCAATAACAAGTCCCAGCACCGCCTAGCTTAGACTGGCAGGGCCACTTGTTTAGATCTCAGATGGTCCTCCTCAGTGATCTTTCTGCCTCTGTGCTCTCAACCTTTAACGCATTCCACACAGACAAGCAAGGTAATGTCCTTACATTATTACTTCATTTTTCCTGTTTTTAACTCCCCGGCAGATTACGGGATTCAAAGACTCTCCTCTAATCTCATCTGTCCCACCCAACTCCGTGCTAGTCTGGGCTATGAACCGAGGTCCACTGAGGCTGACGCCCACTACCCTGCATTTGCCAGGCCCATTCTTGTCTTGAGTCTTTATTTTACCCTTTGTATTGGAAGAATGCATACCGCCTCCACCTCCTGACTCTGCGTCTGGCGTCACCCAGCACAGACTACTAAAGCTCTAAGATCATCTGCGATTCACTAGTTACCAGTCATTTTTCTCTTCAGTCTCTCTGCAGCATGTAAAACTTCACTATTCCCTTCTTCCCTTGGTTTTTAAGACGCTGACTCTCCGTTTCCTTCCTAAGAAATGGCCCTTTCTCCTGGTACTGACAAACGGAGGTGGCCCTCAAGGTCCCGCCCCTGGTTCTTTTGCCAAGGTGTATGTTTGCCTCGAGCAAGCTCAAGGAGGTTCTTCGTCTACTTTCAGCTCTTGGTGTGTGACCCCCAAGCCTCTTCTTTCCAGTCCTGACCTCTCTCAGTCACAATCTTTTATTCCTCATTAGCCCATCTTGCTAAATGACCTCTGATGCCCTCAGGTTCGAGTACAGCATGTCCAGCGGCCAGTCCAAAGTCTAAAGATCAGCATCAAACACACCACTGCTTTTTCATTCCATCTCGAAATGGCACCAGCACCATCTGAATTCTTTGTGCAATCTTCGACTTCCCCTCTTCCTGATTTGCCACGATGCAATCCGTTATCAAGGCTCACTGATTCACTTTAGTTGTGTGTATACACACATAAGCATCTACTCTCTCTAAATCATACTTTTCCCCTCTACTAAGTGACCTCCCAAGTCTCAAACTCTCTTGTCTCAATAGTGCTGGCAGTTTCCTACTGTGCAACACTGATGTCACCTGTATACCTGGAATCTCAGCACTCAGGAGGCCGAAGCAGATAGACTGTTGAGTTCAAGGCCAGCCCGAGTGAGTTTAAGACCAGTGTGGAAGGGCTGAGGATTTAGCTCAGCAGCACAAGTGCTTCCCAGGCAAGTGTGAGGTCATGAGTTTGATCCCCGGTACAAAATTTAAAAACCCGAAAACAAACAAACAAAAAATACCCATATGGAATACCGAGTGAAATCCTGTCTCAAGAGCACTAATTTAGCAAAAATGAGATTATTTACTAGCAACCACTACAGTATAGCAGGCAGAACAGAGCCAAGTTAAAACAAGATAAACCGTACCAGGACGGGGAGGGCTTTGGGGTGACTGTGAGTGCAAACCACTTACTCAACCCACTTAACTGTGAGAGAAAAATGAGATACTTTAGGATCCACAGGCTGCCTACAATGTGGACGGCAGTAGCAGGGCAGAAGAGCAAGTTGGTGAGCTCCCAGAGAGGCAGCGGAAAGCCCCAGCTAGGACACAAGTCCCGGAAGCGGGAGGAGACAGGAGCAGCCCTGGCAAGGCTGACGGACCTGGGCACCGAGCAGAGCGGCCCACCTGAGAAAGCCCAGGTGTGGTGACCAAGAGCGGGCACAGGCACCTGCGTAGGGAGGGAGTGGGAGAGGTTTGTGAGGCCCCGAGATAAACCCTCCGGAAATCCAATGCCAAGAGAAATAGACTCCCAAGGCAACAGTACCACACGGCCACATCTAGAAACAGTCACTTCCTAAGGGGCTGGGCAAAAGCAGCTACTTACATGCTTTAAGTGCAAGTGTGCCTGGCTGGCAATGTCGTATACCACGTCTCTCACATGTCTATCTTGGTTCCTCCTCAGAAAGTCCTCTTGTGAGACACCATGCTGGGTGGGAAAATACACATTATGTTAAGACTCTACAAGCACACTTACAATTAACACAGCGCAAGGAAACAGGTACTGTACAGACAGAACAGTACGAATGTACAATGCCTGTTTTTTACTGTGTGTGTGTGTGTGTACAGCGAGAGGAAAAGACAGGTGCACACCTGGAATATGCAATAAGATGTAAATCAGTAACAGCTGTAGGTAAAAGAGAAATAGAAAAGACAACAAACACAGAATTCTAAGTTTAAAGAATCTCATACAGAAAGTGAAAGTTCTAAAAAAAGATTTTGTTTTGTTTTGTTCTTTTGGTACTGGGGATCAAACTCATGACCTCTCACTTGCCAGGTGGGCACTTCTGCCACTGAGCTAAATTCCCAGCCCCTAAAAAAAGATTTTAAACTAGGTGTGCAACACATGCCTATAACCCCCGCACTGTGGGAAGCTGAGGCAGGACAATCACAAATTCAAGCCCAACCTGGACTAAATTTAGCAACTTAACTCAAAACAGAGGCAGGGCAGATAGAGCTCAATGCAAAGGCCTTGGTTCAACTCCCAGTAGATTATTTCCTCCAATAAAACTAGGCAGGCCAAGGTAAACCCTGGGAATAATTTCTGAGATTGCTCAGAAGAGAGCAAGGCATCAAGGTAAAGCTGCATCAGGTGAGGTTTCCTGGACCTTCTTACTCAGCTTCTCCAGAGACCTAACATAAAAAAAGTTTTAGTACTATGTGTCAAAACCGGAGAAGTACTCTACCACAGAGCTAAGCCCCAGCTCTTTTTATTTTTTCTCTTGGGACAGTCTTGCTAAATTGCCCAGGATAGTCTCAAACTTATGATCCTCCTGTCTCGGCCTCCTGGTAGCTGGGGTTACAAACGTGTACCACTGTATCAGGCCCTGACGGATAAAAGTCTGACAGATAACTATTACAAAAGGAGGAAGAACATTTGCAGGAAGCAGCAAACATTCCTGTCAAAGCACTTACTGGAACAGACTATGCAAAGAACCCAGAAACAACTTCCCATGTTCCTGGGATGAATTCTGAGAAGTCACAACTGCAGCCTTACCAGCATACAAATATCCATGGGAAGGAACACTCTTCTTCTGCCACCATGATAGGGCGTTGCTCTCAAGCAAGTGACAATGCCTTGTGCTTTTCCTATGTGACTTGCGGCATGATCTGCATGGAGATCCTTTACACCTACGGTTTGGAAGTTAAACAAGGCTGCTCTGTTCTCTTCAGTACATAAATCAGTACAGCACAGACAAATCACCTAATGACACACAAGCAGGTGTTTATCCTATGTTTTATTTCTGAAAAATTTTGTGTGGGAAAAAACCGGGCTCCAGGGAAAAGTGATCATTTTCCTAGTAGCAAGGATCTGAATCATGTTTTCCTCAAATACCAGCATGCTGAGAATACACTTAGAATCTGAATCAGCTATCATGGAAACTAATCACAAGCCTTCTATTTCTTCTCCACTGTGCCATTCCCACACCAGCTTGTTCAGCGCACTCTGTCTCTGCTTCTTACTGTCATTACCATGCTCACCTGATGGCAGACATCACAGGCAGCAGAGTTTGGGAAGTTCGACGGGGACCTGTATTTCAGGGTGACATAAAGATATTCCACCTACTTCCACGGAGATGGTACTGTCCTTGTGCAGAATGTTTTCTTTATTAAAATAAGACACCATAAACTCAGGCCAGTCAGAGGAGGAAAGGTACCATCGAGGACTGCACATGGGCAGGGTACCGCTGAGCTACATCCTCTCACTCTTTATGTCGGGGAGGGATCTTGCTCAGCCGCCCAGGCTGACGCAAACTTGCAACGCTGCTGCCTCGGCCTCCTGAGTGGCTGGAATTAAGGCTGTGAGCCACTGTTCCCAGTTAAAATGTTTTTAAGATGAGAAGAGAGAAAAATTTCACAAAAACTTTCATAAATGAAGTTTTATTTTTCTACTTTCTTTTCTCTTACCTGAAGAAGTATCACTGACAGAAAAGGAAGAATTTGTAAGAGATGATACAGTAACAAAAAAAAAAAAAAATAAAGTTTCAATGAGTCACCAGAGCTTTTCCATGAAATACCTAGAGTACTTCCGTGACAGCCTGAGGACTGTATTTGGAACGTCCCTATCCTTACAGGTAGACATAGAGGCAGAGCCTCCTTCTGACTTCTAAGTATTCCTTTATTTATAGCACAAAGGCAAATTCCAGTGCTAATATGTTCAGACTGTCAAAACTAGGAGGGAAATCTGAAAGGTACTTTTTTATTTGAAAAGAGAACTATGAAATAAAAACACAACTTACCCAGTATTTCCAGTGTTAAATACAGGAGTGAGCTCTGTGTGTTTTCAGCATAATTTTCAAGTTCCTGGATATTACGATATGGTTTGTCATCCAAATTTTTTTCCTACAGTAAAAGAAAATACAAATAAAGTTTTTTGAATATCAGTATCTTATAACGAAAAGATGATCTCTTTTTCCTAAAGAACTAAGTAAGAATAACAGTGTCAGCCAAGAACGGTGGTGCACACCTGTAACCTTGGCATTCAGGAGGCTGAAGCAGGAAGACTGCAGTTGGAGGCAGCCTCGGCTCCGCAGTGAGCCTAAGGCCAGCCGGGACTCTGTAATGACACTCTGCCTCAACCCTCCCTTCCAAAAAATGTGTAATTGATCACACTGGTTTATTACTGCATGAAATAAGATAACAGTAAAGCTGGGTGTGGTGGCACACACAATGCCAGCACTCTCAGGGGCAGGATGCCAGCCAACTTCAAACCCAGCCTGGGCAGCTTAGTGAGACCTGTCTCAAAATAAAACAGAAAAAGGGGTGGCAATGTAACTATATAGCTCAGTGTGAAGGTCCTGAGTTCCTTCCTTTGTACTGTAAAGTAAGTAAAAACTAAATAAAATAAAAAGACCACACAAGTGAAGCCAGGCCACACATCAATTAATGGGCTTGACTGGACCCAGAACTCAGTTTTAAGAATTTAACACAGCATCTCATTCTCTAGAATTGTCAAACTTTCTTTATTCCCTCTACTATTCTGGGTGAACCTGAAGGTATGTGATAGTATTTGGTGGTATTAAGGAAGGGAATTATAAATGTAGTTTTTTAAGGTATGATAATCGTATTGTGGCTATGTTTCTGAGAAGTCTATCTCCTAAGACACACGCATTTGCAGGTCAAGTGATACTCTGAGTTTTACTTTAAGATAATTGAATCATTGGGGGTCAGTGAGAAGTTAGAATACACATGAAACAAGATTAAAACTGGGTGAGAAGATACATGAAAGTACATTATTCTCTCAACTCCTTGTGTAAGTATAAAGTTTCCATTTAAAAATTCTCAACTAAGTGGGCCATGGTGGTGCATGCTTGAAATCCCAGCACTTGGGAAGCTGAGGCAGGAGGGTGACAGTGAGTTCAAAGCCAGTCTTGGTTATGTAGTGAGTTCAAGACCATTCTGAACTATAGAGCAAGACTCTGTCTCAAAAACAAACAAAACAAACGCCCCAAAACTATCCATGCATGGTGACATACACCTGTAATTCCAGAACTCTGGAACACTGAGGCAGGAGGATCATAAATTGAAGGCTTACCCAGACAATTCATTTAAGACTCTATCTCTAAATTCAATAAATAAGTTTTGAAAAAGGGTCTAATTTTTTTTGAGTTCTTTATTCTAGCATTAGTCTTCTGCCTGAAAAACAGTTGACAAAAGTATTTTTCCATTCTGCAGCTATTTCTTCACTCGGTTATTTCTTCTGCTGTGCAGAAGCTTTTTAATTTGACATAATCCCTTTTGTTGATTCTCGCCTATGCCAGTGCCTTTAAGATTTTTTTTTATCGGTACCAGGGATCGAACTCATGACTGCCTGCTTGCAAGGCAGGTACTTATGCCGCTGAGCTAAATCCCCAGCCCCTAAGATTTTTATCTATTGTATCTTCCAGTAGATGTGTTTCTGATTTATTTTATTTTACTTTTTGGGTTTTGGAGATAGATTCTCACTATGTAGCCCAGGCGATCCTCCTGTCTCAGTCTCCTGAGTGCTGGGATTACAGGTGTGTGCCACCACGCCCGGTCAGGCTTTGTCTTACGGTTTAGGGTTTTTCTTTTTTTTATTCATTTTGACTTCACTCTAGTACATGGTGAGAAATATGGGTCTAGCTTCAATCTTCTGCATGTGTACAGCTAGTTTTCCCAGCACCATTTGTTAAAGAATGCACGTTTCTTCTACCATTTGGCTCTTTTGTCTGTTTACTAATGGCTGAATGTACCTAGGGTAGTTTTGCATCCTCAGCGCTGTTCCATTGACCCACATAACTGCTTGTCTGGCAGTACCATGTTGATTTTGTCACCATAGTTTTGTAATATAATCTTAAGTCCAGGATTGTGATGCTTCCTGCCTTGCACTTGTTACCCAGGATTGCTTTTGCTATATATATTTTATGGTCCCATACAAATTTTACGGCTGTTACTTCTAGTCCTGTGATGAATGCTGCTGGTATTTTGAGTGGGCTTCTATTAACCTATTTATCAGTTGGGTGGTACGGCCATTTCCACAACACTGTCCCTGGCCAGGACCAGGGGATATCTCCGTCCTCAGCTGCCTTCTTCCACCCCTTTCTCAGAGTACTCTACTGTAGTTGCTGTTACCCAGGCCTTTCACTTCCTTGGTTGGGGTACTTCCTGTGTAATTTTTCTTGACATTACTGTCTCAGGAGTCACCCACTTTCCTACAACTGTCTCATTTATCTTTCTCTATGGCAGAATAGTACCCACTGTGTGTGAATGCCACATTTTCTTTACTTATTCATTTGCTGATGGATAGATAGGCTTCTTCCATCATGGCAGCTATGATGAGACAATAATGTTAAATAAAATAAATGAGACACTCAAGCTTACATATTGCAAGGTATGAGAAATTCAAAAGTACAAATTTAAAGAGCAAAATAAAATACAAATAATAGGAAACAGAGAGCGTTCTTTTGCAAAAGGGAGGGATACAAAGAGATGCAGGGAAAAGGAAGTAAAAAGAATTAAGATGTGTTATATACATACTAATTCCCTACAATGAATGTTATCATTACTACAAACAGGTACTAATGAAAATCAAAATAAATTTTAAAAAAGGATAAGGTGAGAGGAAGGTCACTGTGAGTTTAAGGCCAGCTTGAACTGCACAGGGAAACCTTGTCTCAAAAGGAAGAAAAAGAAAGAAAAGAAAAAGGAATTGCTAATTATCTTGGCTCATGTTTTATACGTAACGGCTAATTATCGGTTCAAGTTTTATGCATATGCTGACATATCACATTGTATCTCATTGATATGAATAATTATTAAACATTAATAAAACAACTAATTAGAAAAAGAAAAACACAAAGAGGTAGAGACGCAGCTCGGTGTGAAGGTCCTGGGTCAGTCCCTAGTATCACTAACAATAAAAAACCCAACCAGTACTGTGCAGCTGCGGACAAGCTTCTGTCCAGGTGTCTGTTTTTGCTACTATCTCAAGGTGACAAAACAGAGGAAAAGGTTGGCATCTGGGGGCAGAATACAGGTAAAACAGCACAGTTCTTGTTAAGTTTCTTTCCTTTAAAATATTAATATAGATATTAAAACATTTCTTCCCTGAAGAACTATTTAAGGGCTAAAAAAGAAGAAAACATCAACTTACTCGTTCATCAATGATTTTCATAAGCCATCTTTTAGTCAGATTATGTCTTCTGACAGCCTAAAAAACAAAAGTGCTAGAAGTTTTTACACAGTACTAGATATAACTTCTCTAGATCTGAAAAGATAAATCAAATATAAGGGAACATTTTTAACAGTTTATCCCCAGATAGACAACTGTATTAAGTATCAGAGAAAAAGGAAATGTTACTAGAAAACATTTCAAAATATTCAAGATAGTGTTTCTGACTCTTCCCCACTATCTCCATATTATTATTGGTCATTTAACAATCCCGCTCAAATAAAAACAAGACACAATGCATTTTTTTATTGTACAATGTACCCAACATATTATACAGAACCTTTCTCCCACAAGGCAAGAGTCTTGTTGGAGATATAGCTCAACAGCACAGTGCCTGCCTGGCAAACTCAAGGTCATGAGTTTGATTCCGAATACCAAAAAAAAAAAAAAAAAAAGTACACTTAGCAAAAATAACTACTTTTTCAAAAATACAAAAGTCAAATGAAAATAATCTCCAGGAAAAATTGTTGCCTTAGAAAGTACAGATACTCTAGCAAGAAAGAGGCCACCTAGAACATGGTCTCTAAATTACTCCTCCCAAAGGAATCAGGGCTCCAGGGCAACAGGTGATTCAAAAGTAATAAGGGGCAGGGCTGGAGGTTTAGCTCAGCGGCATAAGTGCCTGCCTTGGAAGCAGGCAGTCGTGAGTTCAATCCCCAGTACCGATAAAAAGGAAAAAGACAAAAAAAAAAAAAAAAAAAAAAAAAGTAATAAGGGGCCAGGCGTGCTAATGCGTGCCTGTAATCCCAGAATCAGGAGGCTGAGGCAGGAGGGTCACCATGAGTTCTAGGCCAGCCTGGATTATACAGTGAGTTTAAGGCCAGCTTGGACTACATAGCAAGACTTTGACTGAAAAAAAAAGAAAGAAAGAAAAACAAGAGGAATAAGGTGAAGTTCCAGATAATCTTAAGAGTATCTTATTACCAGAAAACAAAAAAGTACTTAAAAAAAAAAAAAAAAAAAAAGGAGACAAGTCATAAAGACCTAGGAGTCAATTTAAAGGGGCTCCCTCTGTCTAAATCAAAGTGATTAAGCACACTGATAAATTATAAACTACTGGGAAAAATCCCACGAATTTGTAAGTCCACAGAAGGACTTATGACTAACAGGGAAGAGCGAGCTCAGTCTTACAGAATGCCAGGTGCCAACTGGTAAATGTGGACAGAGTGCTGAGCTGGGAAATTTTCATTTTGCAACTATAATAGCAGACTGAATCATACAAAACCATCAATGACTGCTAAGCAAAGGGAGGAATCTGGATGAAGAGAAGAATAATTGCATAGCTTTAAAGTATCAAGGCCCCAAGCCAGGCATGGTGACACACACCTGACCTGTCACTTGGGAGGCTGAGACAGCAGGATCACAGTGAGTTCGAGACTAGTCTGGGCTACATAGTGAGTTCAAGGCTATAGTGATAGCAAGACCCTGTCTCAAAAAAAAAGGATCAGGGAAAAGGTGGCTGATTAGTTGCGAGTATAATTACACAGTAAGAAAAACAGAAACATCTTGACTGTGTTATACAAATCAACAAGCCAGTAAAGGACAGAGAGACAGAGCCCAGGCATGGTGGTGAACACCAGCTACTTGGGAAACTGATGCAGGAGGATCACAAGTTCAAAGTCAGCCTGGGCAACACAGTAAGACTGTCTCAAATGGAAAGTTTAAAAGAATTTAAAGACTTGCCCAGCATGCACAAGGCCCTAGGTTCAACCTTCCATTCCAAAAAAAATAAAAAAATAAAGTGTCACTCCCAATGTGACACTTTGAGAAAGACATCACTCATTCCAGCCAAGAATCTATAACCTAGATCTAATATTGCGAAAACATTAGACAAATCCAAAATCAGTGTTCTAGGGAGGGAAAAAAAAGAGGGCAGGGGGTAAACTCGATCTAATATTGCGAAAATATTAGACAAATCCAAAATCAGTGTTCTAGGGAGGGAAAAAAAAGGTCAGAGGGTAACCTAGATCCAATATTGCAAAAACATTAGACAAATCCAAAAGGAGTATTCTAGGGAGGGGAAAAAAATGGCAGGGGGCTACAGTCTTTAAAAATGTCAATGTCAGAGCAGATAAAAGCCATGGAAATGCTCCAGATTTAGGTAAGCTAAAGCAATGTGACAAGTACATTCTAGACGCTAGATTGGATCCTATACTGGAGAGAAAACAGAAAATCATAATATAAACATGAAACCAGACAAATGTGTTACATCACAGTTAAATTTACTAAAGTCAGTAACTGTTCTAGTTATAAAAAGAGTATATATCTCTGTTCAGAAATATTAAGTCTGAGAGATGTCTTACACTTCAAGGAATACTCTCCTGTGGCATGGACACTTGCTCGTCAGTGTGGATTTATGTGACACTGGCTTTAAGGAGGGAAAACTGGGTCCCCTTGATCTGGCAGGCACCTGACAGGGTGAAAGGGCCGTGTGCAGTGAGCTCCAAGCGCCTTCAGCTCAGTGCCGCTACTGCCCTACGGCAGGAAGCCCAGCAGGATTTCCCCAGGTCCCAGGAAGCAGGCAGCCACCACTGCGGCCTCCTGTCTCAGTCTATTTTCTACTTGTCCGAGCAGAACAGGCAAGTTTGATCTCTGTGAACAAACCATGAAGCATGTTGCTGACATGGAAAAGCACTTGCTACATATTTAATCAATGAAAAGTCAAACTCTTATTTACTGACAACGAAAGCAATTAACAGGCACAGTTCCTTGACCACAAAAATAAGGTTCTGTTTCCGAAGGAAATTAGAGTTCAAGGCAAAAGACGAAATGCTTAAAAGAAGCTAAACTATCTCCTGAATAAAGTATGAATTTTGGAAAATGAAGCCAAGTAGAGTAAAAAATTTGGCAATAAAACATAAAATCAAACAACTGATATTCATATGCAGAAAAATTGAAAACTCTACACAGAATGCAGAATCTACAAATATTCGTGTGGCAGTGCACACCTGTAACCCCAGCACTCGGGGAGACTGAGGAAGAATCATGCTTGGGCAATTTAGCAACTTACTGAGACCAGGGGCAGGATGGGGGTTACACTCAACTATTCTGTGTCCTGAAAACACCAGTGAAACACTAGAGCAGAAAAGGGCTCTCAGCTGGGCCTGGCAGCACATGCCTGTAATTCTAGCACTCCAGAGATTGAGGCAAGAGGACTGCCAGGAGTTCGAGGTCAGCCTGGGCTACATAGTGAGTCCAAGCCAGCCTGAACTACATAGCAAGACCTTGTCTAGAAAAAAAAAAAAAAAAAAAAAAGAAAACTGCTCTTTAGATGACACAACGTCACCATCACCTCTGCAACAGAATCTGCCTTCAGTGTCAAGCACGGTGGCAAACACCTATACTTTGAGCTACTTGGGAGGCTAAAGCAAGAGGATCCCAAGTTCAAGGCCAACATGGGCAATTTGGCAAGATGCTGCTTCAGAATAACAAAATAAAAAGGGCTGCTCAGTGGTACAGCACTCCTGGGTTTGAGCCCCAAAACTCCTTAAAAAATGTAAACATCTCATTAAAACTGGACAAATTGTTAATCCTAAATCAGCACATATGTAAACACACTGTAATTCAAATGTATCTTCTGGTTTTTAAAGAGAAGCCAAAGATAGATAAACTGGCACAAGGAATCTCTGATCTTCCATATTCCTGACAAAGGCAGAATCGATTGATCTATCTTCCTTCCTTCCTTTTGAGACAGGGTCTCACTATATTATTCAGGCTGGCCTGAAACTCACTGTATAGTCCAGACTAGCCTCAAATTCAAGGCAATCCTCCTGCCTCTGCCTCCCGAATGCTGGGATTACAGGCCTACATCACCACGCCTGGTTAAGGCCAGGCTCTCTGATGCAAGTGTCAACACAAACCTGCATTGCAGACAGGCTTGTGTGAAAATAATAAACAGGAAGAGTTTCTGGAGTTTACAGAAACTCTTCTCTATCTGAGTCACCTGGCTCGAGTTCCCTGAAGTGGAATGAGAAGAGGTACACAGCTAATCTACTGCTCACAGCTTCCCATCTCCCTTTCTTCTCTGTCCCTGGGGTGGGGAAGGGGGCCCGGCCCTCCATCTGTACGGGGCTCTGTGGAGTCAGTCTGGGGCCCCAGAACCAGGCCTGCCTCTGCTGATGTACAGACCTGAGAAGAGGAGTGCCACTGTTAGGTCTGTCGGCGGCTCACGTTGCACAAACCCTCTTTTGGCACTTATCACGTTACAGTGGGGTCACGGATCAGTAACCAAAGACACCAGTCACGGTTTACCCCACAGGGATGGTGAACCTTTCAGGGCTTTCAATAACAAATGGCTGGCGATGACACTGATGCCACAGGTTTGCCACCACTGGTTTAACAGATTTCTAAACTATCCATGGTCATTTATGGATGAGGGCTCCGCATGCCTGCTTCAATATAAAACCATTCGCCGTATACATCTGGCTATACAAACCGTACTCTAGCCCAGCGGTGTGAATCTGGCACGCCTGCCACGGCGGGCTGCTGGTATCACTGGGTGCTCTAAACGGTTCCCATCACTGCTCTAGTCCATGGCTTTCCATTCTCTTAAAATCCAAAATTCAATGAATGGGCAAACCTACAAAGTAGTTTTAGATTTGTAAGTGGAACATGCTGAGAGCAAGTCTCCTTTCACAGAAGCCTAATCTATGCTGTTCTACAGTCCTGAATCTGGATTTGCAGTCCAGAAACTAGTGTGAGAAGCTACTGGACAGAGAGAAAATTTACCTTCTATTACATCAAAGCTTGCAGGATTTAAATTCTACAGCTAAACATGAGGAAATACATAAGTAATCCACAAGATACTAAAATCCCTTTTTTCCCCTTAATAAAGAAATACAGGGGCTGGGGGTTTAGCTCAGCGGCATAATCACCTGCCTTGCAAGCAGGCAGTCGTGAGTTCGATCCCTGGTACCAATAAAAACGAAAAAGACCAAAAAAAAAAAAAAAAAGAAAGAAATACACCAGACCTTACAGCAGGAAGATCACAAATCTGAGGCCAAGCTGGAGCCATACACTGAGTCCAAGGCCAGCCTAAACTATACGGCAAGGCACACACACAAAAAAGAAACATACCAAATACCTCTTCAGATTATCAGTGGAAGATTGTAAATTCCTGTACCAAGATTAACATGGATCTGAATATTACATTAGCTGATGATAATTTTCAGGGTAGATTCCACCATCATCACCAAAAAGTAGGCTCTTACAAATTAAAACTAGCAGTTTCTTTTTCTTTCTGCTTTGCTTTACCTTCCACAGTTCAGTGGCCACAGGCTGATGTGGTGGGTTGTCACAGTATATATCTTCCACAGTTTTTCTCCAAAACTGCATTCGCATCAGTCCAATTGTTTTCTCAGAAACTGAGTCCTTCACCTGTAAACAGGTTCACAACTTTAACAAATGTACTGTGTATAGTCCCCAAAGCCAGCGCTGTTGAAGGGACTGAGTTAACATGCTCCCACTCACTTGAACATCTGCATAACCTTAATACAATCACAATGAAAAATAAATCCATCACCGTCCCATCAAGCAGCTTCAATCACTCGCTGGGACAGTCATGCACATTACCACTGGTGGTTCAGAGCCACCTGGCAGCACGACAGAGGAATTATGGCCCCATCACGAACATGTTAATTTACGGAACTGTAGTCTGTCATGACTACCATGGCGAATATACGACTTCACTTTTTTAGAACCTATAAAACTATACACCACAGAGTGAATTGTGTTGCATGCGTGTCTTAGTTACTTGTCTTATTGCTGAGACACAATACCCAGCACCCAAAGGTAAGGAAGCAAAGGTTTACTTGGTTCAGTTTGCAGAGATTTCAGTCCACAGTCGGCTGGCTCCAGGGTAGGGTGGCAGATAGCAGAGGAGTATTACTGAGGAAAAATAGTCCATGGCAGCCAGGATTACTAGCTGCCCTCTTTTCATCCCTTATATTTTTGCAGGCTGCCCATCCTAGGGCAGGTGTAGTACTCATACGTTTAATCCCACCCAGAACTGTGCCAAACCAATCAGTGGACTGATTCAGTAACCACACACCCTTGATCCAAGCACCATACATCTAGATGCAGCCACCTCCGAAAAAACCCCACTACAACTGCATCAGGCTTTGGGGAGACGGCTAGATACAAGCCCTACCAAATGCATGTAAATAAACTCACTTACTCATTAACAGTTTTTAAAAAAATTATTGAACTACTTCCCTCACTAACTGCTAAGAATGGCCTCCTTTGAGAGGCATAGTGGCACACAGCTGCAATCCCAGTACCCTGGGAAGCTGAGGTAGAAGGGTCTCTACTCCAAGCCTTGCCTGGACAACTTGGCAAGATTCTGTCTCAAAGCAGATGTACCTTAGTGTGAAGGATATGGATTCAATTATGAGTATCACAAAAAAGAAAAGAAAAGTAAAGAAAAGAAAAAAAAAAAAAAAAAACGATCTTAGGTTCTGGCAAAAATCACCAGTGCAATATATATCTAGGAGGAAAATTCTGATGAGAACTGTGGCCTTAAAATGTCTCCTTACAAACAACTTATTAGTAGTCATAACATCTTGACTAGGTGACCAAAACAAAGGTCATCACATACAGGCAGGTGGATATATCATGCCTCCTATAATTCTCTGAAGAGGGCACACCATTAAAAGAATATTAGTCCAGCAATGCATAACTTTAATACAATCATCACGAAAAATAAACACCAAACGAGAAACTTTTTTAGGGTTAAACCCAGAGCCTTACACATCCTATGGGAGTGCTGCTCTACACCAGAGCTAAATCCTCACCTAATTCTACTTTTTAAAAGGAACAGTATTGTTTTTTAAAAAATTCAAAGGCACATAAGACAAAGAAACACTATGTATATGTACCTAGCTAAAGATGAAAGAAGGCTAAAAATATATGAAAAGTAAATATAATACATGATGGTAGTTTAGATCCGACACAAAAAGAAAAGGAAATGTTGTAAAGGACTGTACTGAAAACCAGGAAACTAAACTAATTAAACAGTAGCTCAAAAAAAAAGTATGGTGTATCAATGTTAAGTTCACTCATTCATAACCACACTATGGTTACATATGGTTACATAAGAGAATAGCCTTGTTGTCATGGAATACACACTCAAGGTGATAGCGATAAAAGCCACACTATACCCAAGTTACTTTAAAATGAATCCTTTTTGGGGCTGGGGATTTAGCTTAGCGGCATAAACGCCTGCCTTGCAAGCAGGCAGTCGTGAGTTCGATCCCCGGTACCGATAAAAAAAAAGGAAAAAGACAAAATGAATCCTTTTTAAAAATGTGAGTGCATTCAATGAAGTACTATTGTGCCTTAAAGAAAGATAAACTTGAATCATTGGTAGGGAAATGGATGCACCTTGAGACCATAATGCTAAGTAAAATAAATCAGTCACATGAGCTTCAATGTCATGTCATTTCTTATATGAGAAACCCAAAATAAAAATAAAGAGCAAAATAAAAGATAGGTAATAGGGCTGGGGATATAGTTCAGTGACACAGCACCTGCCTGGAAAGTGAGGTCGTGAGTTTGAGTTCCAGTACCAAAAGAAAAAAAAAAAGATCAGTAATGGGAAACCGTGAGATAGACCTTTTACAGACCTTTTGCATATGGGAAGAGGACCAGGACATGAAGGGAGTGGGAGGGAGGAAAGAAAAAAATAGTTACAAAAATAAAAGAATTAGATGTGCTATATACATGTACCAACTTCTCATGAGGAATGTGGTAACTATGTATTACCAATGAACCAATTCTAATAAAAAAATATGTATATACAGAATACAAATCAAGTGGGGAAAAATACTAACAAAAAGATATATGGGTATTATTTGTTTTATTCTTACTTTCCTATGTGTACAATTATTCTCAAATAAGTTTTTCTGGGGCCAAGGGCAGGGCATAACTTAGTGGTACAGCTCTTGTCTAGCATTGTATAAAGTCCTGGGCTTGACAACCAGCACTGCGAACAAACAAACATTGTTTGCTTGCTTGTTTGTTAAATGATCCTGGTGGAGGGTAGGTTTCTTAGCAAAGTTCAATGCTCAGGTCCCAGTGGCATACTACAGCAGTATAGCAACAGGGCGAGCTTTTAAAACACGACCAAGAGGTGAGTCTCTCTTTGCTCGGGATCCTCCAGCATCTTCACATCTGGAATAAAAGTCACAACGAGCTCGGTGGTCTCCAAGTCCCATTATCCACTCAGATCTACTCTGCCGTCTTCCCATGCTCCCCTCCCTGCCCTGCTGGCCAGCACTGGCCTTCTGCTCTCTGAAATTTCCAGGCACAGTGCACCTCAGAACCTTTGAGCTTGTTGTTCCTTTCACCTAGATACTCTGTCCAAATATCTGTGCAGCTCACTCCAACACCTCCTTCACACCTTTGCTCCAATGCCACCCTCTCTGTGAGGTTTTTCCTTGTGACCCACAAAATAGGAACTGCTTCCGTGCTCAGCCTTCCCTGGCCCCTCCACAGAACTTATCTCCTCTGATACATTATGAAGTTATTTATTTGTTCACTGAGTGCAGGGTCTTTGTATGTATTCAACGCTACATTTCCGGGCCTACAACAGTATTTAGCATACTTTAGACAGTATCTGTTGAATACACAGATGCATAAGACTGTATATGCAAAGAGGGGACAAGGTGCTCCTAAAAAGTGATGGAGAGTTCAGGGAGAATCTTGGGGTTTACTTCATTAAAATGGAACTTGGCTGGGTGTGCTGGCTGGTGCTTATAATCCCAGTATCTGAAAGGCTGAGGCAGAAGGGTTACAAATTTGAGAACAGCTTGTACAATTTAGCAAAACCCTGCCAAAATAAATAAAATGCCAGGGCATGATGACACATGCCTGTAATTTCAGGACTCAGGACACTGAGGGAAGAGCATTCCAAGTTCAAGGCTGGCATGTACTCTGTCTCAAAAAAAGTTTAGTCATCTAAAAATTATAATGGAAGACCACGGTGGAACTTTTACGGCTAAACTGTGGCTGACTTAGGACTAAAAGATACAGCTCAGATATCAGGTAGTGGTAGCCTGTTTGCAGAGCATGTTTGGGATCCTGGGTTCAGTCTCCAGTACCTCAAGAAACAACCCTACATAAGATAAAGTAAAATCTGACTGGCTGAATATGTCAATGTATAATTTGTACCTGACAAAGGATAAGGTGAAATACTCTGACTCACAGGTGACAGGGAAGAACAGCTAGGAGAGCAGCTAGACCAGGAAAAAATAGCTGGTCCAGGAGACTGCAGATTCACACTTGTGATCTCAGTTGCACGTTGGTGCCGTAAGTGTATCTTTCATCTACTCCTTGTTCACTTCTTACCACATTCAACACAGAACCTGTGCCGGATCTGCCACTCTCTTCAAAACCCTGCAGCCTTCCCTCCACTCCCAGTATCTGACCTCTCCATTCAATTTATGAGAAAACCAAGGTCGTTCTACTTAAACTTGCTTGCTTCTCTCTCCCATCTCAATGTTTCGTATCTGTACACATTTATTACATTTGAAGAAAAAAGACCTCTCCTTTGTTTCTTACACAAAACTCAGCATACTCTAAGACCTGAGTCTGTTAGAACTGTTTCCATTTCCCACTTCAACTTAAAGATAAAACTTCAATTTATGCTTTGAAAAACTGCTATACACATGTAGTTTATACGATTACTGGAGAAAAGACACAGTCCTATAATGATTAACCTATTTGATTAATAGACAAGTGTGTACTTTGAACTTTACAGTGTTTAAGCTCCTAAGAAAAAGAAATTAAAACTCCAGACAGGCAATTTCCAGAAATATTAAGGTCATTAGCTAGTTATACTTTTGGTACTGAATTAAGCCCAAATAGCAGAGGTCATTACCTAGTTTTATTTTGGTAGTTATAAGGCCAAATAACAGGAAAAAGTACCAGTAGAAAACTACCAGTAGAACCTTAAACACATCTCATGTATAAATTACAACTATTGCAATTTATGCTTCAGCATTAATTACATTATATCATCATCTTGCAAGTAATAGCTTAAAGTATCTTAATACCAGCCTGAGCCAGTTCCACATTGAAGGCCCTCAGTGCAAAAGCAGAGCTTCGGGATTCTGCAGGGAGCAGCAGGGTGCATAAATAACTTTCATAATCACGTTTCCTGTAACAAGTATGGGAGAGAAAAAGGTAGTTATTCTTTACCTTCCCTACAGCACACAAAACACTGACCAAAATTAACTGAAAACAATGACATTTTAGTTCAGAATAGATATGACATTTCTTATTTTTTAATGACTATTAAAAAATCTCTACAACTATAAAAACCTTGTATTTGTTTCCATTTTAGGCAAGTTAAAAAAGAAATCTCTATTTTTGCTCATGCAGTATTTAAAATTTTAATTGTTTCCATTCTCCTTACTTTTAGGAAGAATTCAGATGAGCTGCAAGAGAAATCAAGTTAAGAAAGTAGAATACAGATACAGAAAGACACAGAAACTGATGTAAAGGGTGTGCGTTCACATTTCCCAGCAGCATCTGCTGTAAGAGCCTAGAAGTAACCACGGCCCCCATAATCCCAGCATCAGGGAATTCATGGTGCTCCTGGATCTTGATTCCTAACACTATTCTTCATGAAAGAACCTAGGACTCCTTGGAAAATGACTGACTCCAGGGCTGAGGCATAGAAATCACAAAGCAAGCCTGAAACATCCTCTTGAGTGCAAAGTAAAGAAACATTCAAGGAATGGAGAAAACACAAACTGGCTCGACAAAGCCTGCAGCAGTTTGAGAATCACAATAATGTCAGGCTAAATGCAGTGAAGTATGGGTGCAGTGGGATATGGGTGCAGTGGGGTTGGGTGCAGTGGGGTATGGTGCAGTGGGATATGGGTGCAGTGGGGTATGGTGCAGTGCGGTATGGTGCAGTGGGGTTTGGGTGCAGTGGGGTATGGGTGCAGTGGGGTATGGTGCAGTGCGGTATGGTGCAGTGGGGTTTGGGTGCAGTGGGGTATGGTGCAGTGGCGTATGGGTACAGTGAGGTATGGGTGCAGTGGGGTATGGGTGCATGGGGTTTGGGTGCAGTGGGGTATGGTGCAGTGGGGTTTGGGTGCAGTGGGGTATGGGTGCAGAAGGCTATGGCGCAGTGGGGTATGGGTACAGTGGTGTATGCGTGCATGGGGTTTGAGCGCGTTGGGGTATGTGTGTGGTGGGGTATGTGTGTGGTGGGGTATAGGTGCAGTGGGGTATGCGTGTGGTGGACTATGCGTGCATGGGGTATGGGTGTGGTGGAGTATGCATGCGTTGAAGTATGCATGCGGTGGAGTATGCATGCAGTGGTGTATGCCGGTCATCCCCACTACTCAGGAGGCTAACGTAAGAGTCCAGTAGTTGGTGGTCAGACTGGAAAAAAATAGCAAAACTCTGTCTAAAACAATAAAATAATGAGGGACTAGAGGTGTAGCTCAATGGAATAGTATTTTCCTAGCATCCATGAGACCCTGAGTTGGATCCCCAGCTCACTCACACTAGCTAACTCTGTCTGTCTGTCTGCCTGTCTCTCACTCTTCAAAATACATGTATTTTACCTCTCCAATCAAATCTAGGGTGGTTCAGTCATACAGTACTTGTCAGACGCCAGCGAGACGGGGCAGTTTAAAACTTGAGACTGTACACTTTTGCAAAAAAAAAGGGCAGAGGCAACTTTACCATTAATTTCATCAGTTAGGTCTGGGCTCCAAGGCATTCACAACCCATCTCCACAAATAATTAAGAAGCGACTCCCAATATACCCAGGTTTCCCAGCGCTACCAGAACACAGACTACTTGTAGAACTACTTAAAACTGCGCAGAACATAATAAAAGACGCAAAGGTAGCTACTATTGCCGTTAAAATTAACTACTACCTGTCCTGTGAGTAAAAAGAAGTATGCCTACAAAAAACGCTAAAGTTAATTAACATAAAAGGGTCAGGCGAGGTGATCTGAGTGGGCAGCCGAAATTACTCTGCCACAATTTTGTGGCCATGTGACACACTGTTGCCTCACAGTGTGTTGCCTCTGCTGTTGCCACACGCTCCCTCCACACACTCACACACCCCGACCAGAGTTCCCCGGGCCGCCAGTCCCAGGTCTTGGTGTCCCCGCCGTCCATCCCAACCCTAAGGCGGCTTCCCGACTCTCACCGCAGCAGCTCCATGCAGTAAGCGGCTGTGCCCGGGCCGCCTGCACCACTGGCCGCCGCCACGCTCCGGCCGGTCTCCGCGGGCCATGGCAGCAGCTGCGCGTGCACCCTCAGTCCCCGGGGCGGCCGGCGGCGGCAAAGACCAGGACGGCCGAGCCGCAGCGCGCCCCAGGGCACGCCCAGCATGGAGGCCGCCATGATGCCGGCGCCGCGTGACCTTCGACCCCGCGCCGCCGGCGTGCGCGACGCCCCGCCGACCGCAGACGCCGCTCAGAGAGCCAGGGGTCGCTGTGGCCCTCTGCGTCTAGCCTGCGACCGCTGTCGGCCGGCCGCAGTTCCAGGACTGCTCCGCCTGAGTCCTGCCGGCCCTTCACCGAGTCCCCTGTCCCAGTTATTCACAGGTGGCCACAGAGCACCTGCAGGAAGCGGTGGCTTGCCCTGTTTTGCAGGGTGGGGCGCTCTTGGCACTTTGGGCGCTACAAGACTGTCCGGGAAGGCCCTGGCCGGCGCGTTGCCAGACGTTTGCTGTACAAATGCCCAGGTGTGATGACAACCAGAAGCTCACACACATTCCAGAGGCCTATGGCATGTCTGTCGCCCAAGTGGAAAAAGGTCCTTGACAGGCGCAGTAAACCGCTACCTGTAGCTCCCATTTATTGCCTGCCTCTACCACTACACACTAAACAGTTTTCAGACGGGCAGGGTCATTACTTCGCTTCTTTTTACTCCCTGTAAGAGTCCTTTGAACATGATTGATGCTGACACGCCTCCATTCACATTAAAATTCAAGTAAGATTTAAATGTTCGAACCAGGTATGGGGGCGCGCATCCAGGAGGCTGAGGCAGGAGGATTGCTGCGAGTTTGAGGGCCTTAGTGAGACACTGTCTCAAAAGAAACAACAACAACAAAATTTTTTTAAACGTTCAGAATATCTCTGTTAGTCCAAAGTGTTTGCAGAGGGTAGTAGTGCAGGCTGTAGGTCAGACCTTGCTCTTCTGTGTCTCCAAGGTCTAGCGGGAATTCCAAGGTGTCTGAAAATTCCAATTTAAACTGACCTTCTAGGTCCTTATGAAGATGTATTTATCAAGGTAGGATAAAGCGTATTTTGACAGCTTAGTATGTTGATTTATAGCTTTTAAATATTTGTTTACATGGTATATGGCCCTATTTTGAAACTCTTATTCTCAGGCTCCTCAGAAATTAGTTGTCACTAGGAACCAGGTCCTAATGCAGTTAGGAATCAGACCCTCGCTTCCTTGGTCCTTGGTCCTTGGTGCCCTTGAAAGCATTCAGTCAAGATACATGGGCCATACAAAAGTATAGGTAGAATTTGTTGTGAAGTAGACAGCAAGAAGGCAGGCAGTGCCAAGAAGGTATCTGCAGAAAGTGTGAGTTTGGATACTTTGTAAACACACAAAAGTTACTCCCAGGGTTTAGGGAACTAGGGTAATTATGCTGTTTAGCAACATTTCACTTAAAAGTACAAAATGTTTTCTTGCTCCTTTTTAGATGGTCAGTGTTTCCAGGGCCTTTCATCTGTGTAAAAAATTTAATTTAAGCCAGGTCCTAGACCCAGGCAGAAAGGTCTTTAAAGAACATTTTTCTGATACCACTAGGCTGTAGGCTCTGGCTGTAGCCAGAATGCTGTGTGCCTTGTTCTGGAATTAGATAGCCAGGTGACCCAAGTATTAGAAGGGATATGCAGTGTGTAACTTGAGAAGTCATTGTGATCTGTGGAACTGTTTTAGGTCTGAGACCTAACAGATGATTCTATGTGGGTTGAAGTCTTTCTTCACATAACTAGCAGTACATGTTTAGTTTGGACCCTCCTCTGTCTGTTCCTCAGGCCACTGTTTAACACATCTGCCTAACAGCCTCCACTGACCTAGACCAAGCCAACAGCTGCCTACACTTGAATATTCATTGTATTCATACTGACTCCAGCTTAAACCCAAAGGACAGTGCTTTGTTCTCTGGCTTGAAGAACCCTAACCAGTTCACTTAGCTTTGCTTTCACTCCCTGAGACATCTCCCCTCAGCCCATCCTGTGGCCCCACCCTGGTCCTTCCTGCATGTGTCCTCTCCCCTTGTGGTCACAGACATGTGCTACTGTTTTCAATACCACAATTTAAACCTGCTCCATTAAAATCAGGGCTGGGGTTGCAGCTCAGTGGTGGATCACTTGCCTAGCATGCATGAGTTCCTAGTACTAAAAAAAAAACTACCCATTCACATTTCCAGTCCTGATTTCTTACTCAGATTGTCTTTTTCACCTAGCCACCTTGTCATTACTTCAAAATCTATGTCTGAAAAAGAAATCAACCCAACTCTTCTTCCTGCTCTCTTTATTTGGATGACATTCCCTTCTTGCCATCAAGGGAAACACTTTGGAATTATCTTTGCATCTTCTGTAACCTGACTTGATCGTGGCCTACTAATTGTCTTTTGTATTTGTATCCATGTAGCACCGCCTGAATTCAAATCCTGGCTTTACCTCCTGTCTCCACCTCTTACTGCTTTATACCTTGGGTAAGTTACCTTTTCCTGTGCTTTAAGTTTTCTCAGCTATAAAATGGAAATAGTAATAGAATCTATCCTATGAGATTGTAATGAAAATTAAGTGAGTGAATACAGGAGAGTGCCTGGGCCATTATAAGGGCTCAAAAGTCAGTCAGCTGTGTAAGGAAAACATTATGAAAGGCTTTTCAACCACAGCTGTTACATGGACCAAAAGGATTGCTAAGTATCTTCTGCAGAAAGCCGGACGTTGTCCAGAATATTTGCAGCTATGGGTCTTTGCACCTTTCATTGTCTTTAAGCTAAGAATTAAATGAGTCATTACAGGAGAATTTGAAACAATACTAATTCACTGATGCGTATGTTTGAAGGTAGCTCACCAATGAATCAATCACTTCCCTCAAAGCCCCACATGTCATCACATGAGGCGTGGGGGATGTCTAGATGTAACTACAACAGAGTTCCATACACATGCCCTTTTTATTTTCTTATTTTGAGACAGTCTTGATAAATTGCCTGAGCTGGGCTTGAACTTTCCATTCTCCCCCATCTTCCTTGACAGTGGGGATTATAGGTGTACACAATCACACTTAGCACTAGTACAGGCTTTTAAAAGGATTATAAATGCATAAAGACATTTCTTTAGTTTCCAAGAATCAGAACTATATTTTTGAAATACACATAGACCTTTATTGAGCTGTATAGATGGGAGAAGCTAAGTGCTATGAAAGAATTAATGTTGAGCTCAGTGAGCACAGAAACACAATCTGTTAATTTGGTGTTTAGCTGAATCACTTGCTCATTGCTCTCTTCAAGCCATGGTGATTATAATGCATAAAACATAGTTACAATATCTACTGTATATTTTGGATCTTACTACTCTTTCAGATTTTTATTTATTATTTTTTATAATGGGGAGACTATGATATTTATTAATGTGAATTTGATTTATTTCACTTATGAGTATTGTCTGAAGTTGCCTCCATTTACCTGTAAAAGCCTCAAGATTACCCTTTTTAATAGCCAAGTAATATTCCACTGTATAAAAACCACATCTTTATTTGTTCTGCGGTGATAGTTATGTGATATATTAACTAGTATTAATTACGTACTTTTCTGTTTTTTGAAATTCTGTATTACTTCTATCCTTTTTAAATTTTTTTTTAGTTTTTGGTACCAAGATCGAACTCACAACCTAGCACCCACCATGCAAGCACTTATACCGTTGAGCTAAATCCCCAGCCCCTGTTTTGCTTTTTAAAATAAAAAAATAGTTACGTTTCTTTCCAAACTTTAGCCCTATAAAGATTGTTCTTTGGTAGACTGCTATGCTGGAAGGAGAATGTGTCTTATTGTTAAATTCTACTGCATGTGTTTTTTTCCCCATGGACTCTGTTGAAAAGCAGGCTCCTATATTAAAAGTCAGAGCCAAGGAATCCTGAGCGCCTGTAATCCTAGCGCTTGGGAGGCAGAGATAGGAGAAAGTTCGGGTCCAGCCTGGCCTATAAATGAGTTCAAGGCCAGGTCATTGTGAGGCCCGTCTCAAAGAGACAAACACAAAATAGTCAGCTGGCCTCCAGCGTTCACAGGGTGCTTGTGTGTCTGAAGGGTCTGAGAGTCTGATGACCACAGGAGGTTAAACCTGCCTGGACAGGAACCCTTTCTCTCGAAGATCTTCAGAGATCAACAAGCTTCTCCTCAGTTCATTTCATTACACATTTTCTAGTACATATAGATTTAAACCTTAATATTGGAAATCTGGAAAATATAGACAAATGTAGAAAAAAATCACGGTAAGACCTATAATCAAAACAGTTAATGTTTATATTTTTATATTTTCTTCCATTCTTTTTTCTGTTTATAGGCTTTTTGCTTGTTTTATGTACTACCTGTACAATATTATTTCGTAGGCCTAACATTGCATAGACATTTTATTATGCTCTTATTTTTTTCATTTAAAAATATTTATTCAGAGTCTAATGTGTCTACACTGAGCCAATTACTAGTATGCCAGGATGAACAAATAGATATGTTCCATGTCTTCAAAGAGCTTAATCTTTTGTGGTAAAGATATGAACAAATAGAATTATCACAAGGGACAGGGGTTACACCTCAGTGGGAAAGCACTTGGCTAGCATTCAGGAGGCCCTAGGTTTAAACCCCAGCACCACACAAGAAAAAACAAAAATCATTTCAGATAAATACAGAATTACAGAATGTGATAACTGGCATTGTATTAATAAGAACATAACTTGGGTTCCTCAAGCAAAGACAAAAAATGACAGTGATTTGAATAAGGTAGACTCTCAAGCAGCAGTTTGGGTAAAAGCAGCCTTGGGTTGTATGGATATCCCAAGATCACACATTCTAGGAAACCAGAGAGTCCAGGCAGTGTGGACAGTTGTCACTCTACTGATATTGTTATCACCCCTATTTTATAGAAAAGGAATGCAAAGTATAGAAAATATAAGTAACTTACACACCTAGCCATTCACAGAGGCAGAGTTCGTACCTGTGGAACCTACCTGCGTTTCACTGCCAGCAGAGAGTGAGTGGAAAGAATGTTTCACAAGAGGGAACTTCATTTGCAGAAGCCCTGAGTCACTTAAGGGTTCACTGCCCTCGGGAGCAGAGTGAGAGCTGAGTAGCCAGCGTTTACTGCCTGAGCAGGAGGGCGGACCACGTGGGAGCAAGAGGTTAGCAGGGAT